TTTGCTTACACACATCTATATTTGCATAGATATTCATAAAAAAAATCTTGCAACAAATCACAGCAATCATAACAAATTCCCATTACTTACTTCTGAATAAAGATAATTACATACTGTCAATGACCACTCATTTTAAAATTTGACAGTACTAAATCTTACTCACACAATTGAAATAGCATTAATTTACGGTTTTCCAGGAAATCTGAACATCAGTATGTGTTATTATCATCACATACACAAATACTAAACAACACAATACATTCTCTCAGCAAATGCTTTGTTAATTTGCCCAATGACTTGACAAACAAAATTATTTCATCTTTATGAAATTTATATCATTACAGCATTGCATCCAGTAAACATTCATATTTTAATTAGACTATGATATAGGCTAGAGGAGACTGTAATAGGTAACATCTGTGCTGGAATTTGATAGTCACTTTAATATTTCTCTAGAGACCACTGGTAGAGCATATTAGCTCATTTTCTACAGCCTGTATTAGCATATTTTAATGTAGGACCAATATCATCCTCATCACAGGCAAATGTTCACCTTTTTCTCCTGACTGCTGAACAATCTAAATGTCTATTTTAGGACAACCTTAAGACCTCCAAAGCACTGCAGATGCTACTGTACTCTACGAACTCTCTGAGTTACACACCACCCTTCTATGTCCAAATATGTCACTGAGAACTAATGAATGCACCTCTATCCTTGGAAGAAATATCACAGGCTGCAGAATTTTTGCTCAGTGTGTCATTAGGTGTTTGCTTTGTTTCGGTAGAAACTCAAGCTGATTAAAGGAGCTGTTCATATTGTCCCTTGCTTTAAGGGAAGGGCTTACATACTCCACACATTGTTCAAAATTCCTTTCCAAAGGCCATGTATATGGACCTCAAGTGAGTGAATCATGTAACATATGCCTTTCCTTTTGCCTTTTTTTTTTAATCTGTTTTGCCCAAACCCAGATGGAATATCCAGTGCTGATGTCCTACCACTCCAAGGAATGTTCAAATCCCTTTGTCTCAAGAACACTAATTCCAACAATTTTTATTGGTCATTTTTTCTGCCTCTTCAGAAGGAAAGTCCAAGCTTAAAAGGGTCCAGAATGCTGTCTGCAACATATATTAATTATTCATTTATCCTGATAAATTATGAAAGCCAGATCTTCCATTATCACTGGGGCTACCAGTTAAGGCTTCTACAGCTTTTAGCTATTTTTATTCCCTTGATACATAGATAACAGCAGACTAACCCAGTAGTGCTCACTTCTCAACTCACAGACAGGAGCCTCTTATTGTTTCTCAATTTTTTCTACTTTTCACTAGCTCCCAATTCTCTGAGCCTCTTATTTTATTCTAACCAGCAGCCTTCTATCTTAATTTGATCCAGCTTTCTTTAAAAGGCAACAGAATCTCCAGTAAAATATATATACTCTTCCTGTGTTCATGCAAAGCACAGTCCTGCGTCATCTTGCTCAGTTGCCAGTTAGCTTGTAGATGTGTAAGCAGCACAAGAACACCTCTGTTGCTCATTTCAGTGAAAGTATTCTGCTGCCTAAAATTTTGCATTATATCTTTAATACCTTGTTTCGATAACTTCTCACATTGTCCTCTTCGCCAGGATTTAAATTTAAGGAAAAAGAACAACTAAAAACTCTTTGTTCCTCAAAAAAGTAGAAATAGAGATAGTGAAGGGATAATGGTCACATGATATTTTATCTCTATCCAAAGTTCATGGAAATTTTGAGGTAAGGAGTCACAAGGAAAGATGAGAGATCCTGTCAAAAGATGTTTGTGACTGACCCAGGTATCCTGGAAAAAAATGACTGAAGCCTCTCTCCTTGGAAAGAGAGACAACATCAGTGCCTGCAAAAAAGACACTATCATAGCATAAACTATGTTTGTTTCTATGTCAATATATAATATATGGTTCAGATATTTAAGTCACAAAGGAGAGGTGGAGAGCTTTACTCCAAAATAAGTTAGAAATAACAGACATCTCAGATACAGAAGATTACATGAGATCATCCCAAATTACTTTTTTTTTTCCAAAAGATAGAAAGCAGTTATAAACAATTTGAAACAGTAGGCCCTTCCTTGTGAGAGTTTAGGGATATAATGTAAAGCAGAACAGGAGTTGAAGCCAAGTTATACCTCAGAAGGATTAAAGAAAGATTTTGCTGTAAAAGCAAATATATTTTATTAAAACTATAAAAAACTAAATGGATCACAAAAGCATCTCAGCATTTTAAGACAATACAAGGACACAGAGAGCACTCCCATATTTGCTTGTAGCAAAACCATCACTTTTTGAATATCTTTTACAATGTTGGTAACAGCTACATCAGATGTGTTAGAGCAATGTAAAAGTATCTTAGAACAGCTTGAGTTAAGAGTGGTGCCAGATGAATGACTAAAATAGGGCATTCTGGGATCTGAAGAGTTACAGCTCATCCAACTATCTTCCTGAAGCACTCGTGTGAAGCTGAGCTTTCCAGGAAATTTCCCAAGGGACAATATAAGAAAAACCTCCCACTCATGCTATGTGGCCAGTTCTGAGAAAGGGCATTGCAAAAGTGAGGCAAACAAGTATTTTCAAACAATCAGTGGTGGATAGTAAAGCCCTAAGACATGCAGCATGAGAAGAGACTAGCAGCAAACACCAAAATCCCTAGGGAACAAGCCACAACAAAGAGGCAATGCTCTTGATTACAGAAAGAGCAGAAGCACAGACAGATCTGCAACTGAGATACTGAGGAAGTTTTCACAAGAGAAGATGATGCATGCTGAAGAGTTCTTCCAAGGAATAATATAAAGAGTCTGCAATGGCCTGGGTCCCCAAACCGGTCTTATCACCACAAGCCAACTGACAGCCAGGGGAAAGAAATCAACTCTAAGCATCCAAAACAAATAGAAAGCTTCATGAAAATGGAATCGGACGTCTCCTGGCTGAGGAAAACAAGCTATGAGAAAATGAAAAACTGTTTGTCTTGCTGCTACATTTGCGTTTTGAAAATTATATTCAGAAACTATTATGTTATAGATTTTTATCCAGAATCTATATAATTCATTTTTCTCATTATGATTTGGACAAAGGAGCAGAAAGAAGGTTTCTTAAATTTGCAGATGAAAACAATGAGTGTGCTTGGAGGAGATACTTGTGGAATGAGATAAAAGAAAAAAATATTAATAATGGACAAAGGTAAAATCCTACATGTAAAATTTCATGGGTAAGAGAGAGGTGAAAAAATATATTGTGGGAAAGGAGATTGGGAGTTACAGTGAATTACAAACTGAACTTGAATCAACCATCTGTTTTGGAAAACAGAAAATACTAAACTGGTATGTATTGTTTGAGAGCTACGTGAAACACTTTTTCCAGTCTACTCAGCAATAGTCAAGCTTCACACTGAGCCCACTGTCAAGCCTGGACACAACAATTCCAGAAGGACACACATCATTGGGAAGTAGCCCTTCAGGAATATTATCAGAGGACAGAGGGGAAAAAATAAAAAAATCTGTATGAAGTTCTAGTTGTGTTTTTTGTTTGGTTTGGAATTTGTTTTGTTTTGTCTTTTGCTTAGTTTTAGTTAATTATATATTAGATAAACTATTCAAAATTTATCTAAAGTCTATATTATATTCAACCACATAAAATAATTTCACATCACTTGTTTCTACAGTCATATTTCTTTTTGTCTGTATACAGATTTAAAGGTCAGCAGGTCACAGAAGCTCTGCATTCGTAATGTGTTTGGTTAAAACTTTGCTTCATTTGTTTACATAGGTAAAACCCTTAGGAAAGTATTTTATGAACTCCCATTGGCACTTGTGACTTCACAAATAAGCTCTAAAAAGAAGAAAAACCATGAGGAATGCTATTTATTCTCTGACTTCTATTTATAAACAGAATGTATCAGTGGACATATGAGGGTGAGCTGTATGTACAGAATATTCTCATTTCATAGTCATGCACAGATCAGTTCTGTCTGTGCTCTGAACCAGCCCAAAGCTGTGTGCAAACGCCACCCACAAGCTCCACAGACCTCCAGTTACAGCTCAGCGCCACGCTAATACAGCCACAAGCAATTCCAGATCAGAGCTAGCACCAAGCTCAGCAAGATTTCTCATGCCTCCCTGCAGAAATACCTTTTCACAGCATCTGCTAAAACCTTACTGCACATTGTGGATTTGGTCCTTTCTTTCCATCAAAAGCTGGTAACGTCGCCCCTAATTTTTTTAGAAAAATGGTGGGACCATTTAAAAAATTGAGATCAGCTCTCTGTTTGTTTAGGACTGATTACAGTACTGTCACTCTGGTTAGTGTTAGTATACAGTGTTGTATTTTAAGACAGCTTACAGCTACAGTCCTAAAATAAACACAAATAAAATACCATTGCACTGAGTATGAAGGAAGACTATGTTCACATAAGCAGGCCTCAGAATGCAAGTCTGAAGACAGCTCAGTCTGGAGATAACCTTTGTGCTATTTTTGGAGACTGCCACCTTCAAAAGCATGCTTCATCTGCTGCAGCAAACCAGGCCATGCAAGGGAACATACACTTAAAGTCCCAGGCACTAATTATTTGAATTTTGCCTTGAATTTCAAATGAATGTCCCCATTTACTGGAATGTTAGGAATTTTAGTGGAATTTTATTTGGGAGTTTTAGGTACAGAAGCCCACTAAAATCAGCGGGAATATTTCTGGGTGTTTGTGAGATGTCCAGTCAGGTTACTGATAATGTTGTATTGCCTGCTTTTGGAGTATGAACATGTTCATGAATATGGGTATGATTGTTAAATTAAGTGATGAGCAAATACCATCGCAAAAATTAAGTGGTTTCTCTTATCTCCCTTAAAAGGATTTATTCACTTTTTAACACAGGCTGTCAGACCTGCTTCAGCAGTTAGGAAAAGTCCTTTTGTTTATTTTACTAACGGCAGATTTGAATGAGACCCTTTTTCTGAGAAGTCTGTGACATAAAATCCATCTTACCTTCAGCTGTACCAGGTGCACATCCACGTGCTTGTTCTCTGAGTCCTGCTGGACAGAGTAGGTCAGGTCCCGGACTCTTTCCGACGTCATCCGGAGCCAGGTCTCAATTTCTGGCAAGTGGAGAACAATCTTCCAGTCAGCCCCGGTGTGTAGAGGAGGAGGCTTTTCATACTGCTGGCCTGGATCAAGGTCCTTCATGACATCCCCTTCCCCTTCTTGTTCCACTGTGGGAGTCATGTTGATGAGCATGGGAGAGGCATCAGAGGGCATCGGGTCCAGGTCTGGCGTTCTCATGGGAGAAAGCGCTACGTCCATGGCTAACATCTGGGAGTCTAAACCGTACTTCTTTCAAAAATAGCTGCAAAGATAAAAAAGAAAACAAGCTGCTGTTTTAAGACTAAATTTAGCAACAAAGTATTCAAAGGCAAGCAGTAAATGATAATGTCTGAGATTTATTGCACACCTAAATAAATTCTTCAGCCTAAAAATCTATGCTGGAAGGTCAAGACTAAACAGACTTTCAAAATAACTTTGTTGATTTGAACAGGATCTTTGTATGAGAAAAGTAAGGAATACTGCATTTCTCTCATTGTAATTTCCAATTGCAATTTCTCATCTAATTTCCAATCAACTTGGAAATTATAGTTTTCATTAATGAAAAATATGTTTTGATTTTTTTCAACTGCAACATAAATGAATAAATATTGACAAAGTCAGCAGGACTTTACTGAACTCCACAAGTTAATACGAGACTGGTATTCATAAACTAGTACATATTAGAACATATTCCTTGGCCTGAAATTTAAGACTAAACACAGAATATTTCAATATTTATTTAAATTTTCAAATTGTCCACTTGATTATTGATCATGTAAGACAAAAAATTAGCCAGCAAACTTGAGGAAATTATTGAGGACACTTGGTTGATTTGTTGATTTTTGTTTAGAACTTTAAGTTCCAATAGTTTTTTTAGATTAAGAACTATTACAATAAGCAACAACTCTAGCAAAACATAGATACTATCATTCCCAAGGTCAAAATACGTACCTAAAATTAAAACATAGTTTTATAAAGTGGCTTTATGAAAGCCCAAATGCTGTGTCATCAATATACATTTATGAGATCCACTGCAAAAAGTCAGTAATAGAACTTTTTACTTTGTACCTCTTCCTCTGTATGTTCTAATTACTTGTGTACTATGCATGAAGGCTGCTATAAACCCTACACATAAAAAAAAAAACAACAAAAAAACCCAAACAAACAACTTTACTTATTTAACATAAAATCTATAAGATTGTAGAAAAAATAGACCTTTCATTGTCAAATCAACACTGTGACTACTGACTTATATTCCTAAATATTTCACATGGAATCTCAGCATCCAGAGACTACTCCTGCAGGCAGTGAGAGTATCAGAGAAGTATCCAGTCACAGTTCTGCTTGCCATAGCCAGGAAGGACAAAAAATTTATATCTTATGTAAATTTGATTTTATTTCCTACCCTGCTACTACTTAGTAAATCAGTGCTTGCACATCTGTCACACTAGCAAAACAATATACTTAAGTTATACTAAATATTAATACTAAATAAAAATTTGGCCCTTCAGAACAAAATTTTCTATCAGTGCAATGAAGCAAGGAAATGATAGAAGAATTCAAATATTCTCAGTTCCTGCTGTACAATTCCCAACTCTTTTAGCTCAAATTTCAAAAAATTATTAATTAAATGCTGTTAAATAAAAAGTTTTGCAGCAAAACTGGATGAAATTAAAATTCCAGGATGCCGAGTAGTTTTTAAGTTCATCTCTTTACATTGCCTATTTTTGAGCTTCAACTCTGTTGCCATAAGTACTCAGCCTAAATTGTTAGAAAAAACAGCGTAATAATATATTTGTCAGAGACATTGCTGATCACAGCCCTAGTTCTAGCACAGAATTCACCTGTTCTAGCAGCCAAAACTATCTCAATATTTTAAACATATTCTTTACATTATTTCCTCCCGAAAGTGAAATTTTGGTGAAACACACTTGGTCCTCATTTCGTGCATGTTTATTGTTAAACACGCCTATCAGAGAAACAGTTGGTTGTGAATCACTAAATGATACCAAAGCACAGGAAGAGCAGCACTTGCTTGGTAGTTTTTTCACGAAAAAAATAACCCCTGGCACTCTTACAGAGTTTTTTTGAGCATGACTCAGCTCTAGTAAGGACATTAAAGCAATTAGCAAACAGAAATGAAAACATGCTCCTGCAGAAGCAAACAAAAGCTGGTCCGTGCTGCATGCAGAGCGAGTTCTGCCTTTCATGCACTGAGTGTGCAATTAGCAGCCATTAGGAACCTGCTGACCTGGTTTTTGTTACCATGTGCTTGACTCTCTCTGAGTGGCTCTCCAGCATTACAGCTAATGCCTCCTTAACCCTAGAAGCTCTTAAAGTCAACTCCTTTACATTCTTTCCTTCCTGCCAGAAGGAAAGTTGCAACACTTCAATTAAGAACACGCGGAGAAATTTAAAAATATATCGTTCTTTTCATAGTCTTAAAAAAAAAAAAAAAAAAAAATTCCGAAAAATTCGTCAAAAGTAATAAAATCCACCGTGGATACTAATTAGCAAGGTCTGGTTTAAAAAGCTTTAAAAAGCTCACAAACGCCTGAAAGGAGAAACTCGCAGCTAGAAACGACCGAATTCCAACAGTAGGGCACAGATTTCTTTAAATTGATTCTTGGCAGAATAAAAAGGCACCATCATCCAAATACGCTGCGAGGAAGGATAGAGGAAAGGCTCTCCAAGAAGACTGGCATGGAAGGAGTGCGGGCACATCTGAGCTCCTGAAATCCCGGGAGAAGCCGGGAGCTCCGCGCCCGCCGCGTCCCCCCCGCCCCCGGCTCT